TGGGAGTTCATCACTACACAACCAGCCCTACAAGAAATCCTCAAGGAAGTCCTGCACCTGGAATCCTGAAAAATGATAATCACTACAACGAATAGACAAGAAAGAACAAAACCCACTGGTAGACAAAAATGCAAATGAGAAAGAGAAACTAAATCTTACCACCACAAAAACCATAATTGCAGGACAATTTAATAATGCCCCTGCTTTATTTCTTATTTTAGTAATTTCAATCTTCTCTTTTTTTTTTCTTGGTCAGTCCAGATAAAGGTTTGCAAATTTTGTTGATCTTTTTAAAGAACCAACTTTTGGTTTTATTGATTTTCTCTGTTGTTTTTTAATTCCCTACTCATATTTTTGTTGCAATCTTTGTTATTTCCTACTTATATTTGCTTTTGTTTTAGTTTGCTCTTCTTTTTCTATTTTCTTAAGGTAGAAGTTTACATTACTGATTTGAGATTTTTCTTATTTTTTTTTAAAAAAAAGATGACTGGTAAGGGGATCTTAACCCTTGACTTGGTGTTGTCAGCACCACGCTCAGCCAGTGAGCGAACTGGCCATCCCTATATGGGATCCGAACCCGGGGCCTTGGTGTTATCAGCACCACACTCTCCCGAGTGAGCCACGGGCCAGCCCAAGATTTTTCTTATTTTTAACATAAGTGTTTACAAGTATAAATTTTCCTCTAAGCACTGCATGAGCCCTGCATCGCATAAATTTTGATATGTTGTGCTTTGATCTTTATCTCAAAGTACTCTCTAATTTCCCCATGATTTTTCTTTTTACCCATTGTTTATTTAGGAGAGTGTTATTTAATTTCCACACATTTGTGAGTTTTCTTTTTTTTTTTTTTTTTTAAAGATGACTGGTAAGGGGATCATAACCCTTGACTTGGTGTTGTCAGCACCACACTCTCCCACGTGAGCCACGGGCCGGCCCCTCATTTGTGAGTTTTCTAAATGTCCTTCTGTTACTGTGGTCAGAGAACATGTTTTCTATGATCTTATTCTTTTAAAATGTATTAAAACTTGTTTTGTGTCCACAAATAAAAATAAAAATGAAAAATAAAAATTATTCTTGGGGGGAAAAAAAAGATAAAAATAAGAAATATAAACTTTATTTCTCAACGTAAACTCCATCAAGTGCAGGACACTTTTGGAAGCAACAATACCAACCATTTAGTCCATTCCTAAACAACTGAGGGTCCAGGGAATTTAACCACATCAACACAGTTTTTTTACATTATTAACTGAAGAAAAATGGGTGCCCTTTAAAGTTTTTTAAGCTAGGAAGCAAAAAGAGGTCAGAAGGAGCCAAATCAGGACTGTAAGGTGGATGCCTAATGACTTCCCATTGAAACTCTCACAGAATTGCGCTTGTTGATGAGAGGGATGAGCAGGAGCACTGTCGTGGTGGAGAAGGACTCTCTGGTGAAGCTTTCCTGGGCATTTTTCTGCTAAAGCTTTGGCTAAACTTTCTTAAAACACTCTCAGGATAAGCGGATGTTACTGTTCTTTGGCCCTCCAGAAAGTCAACAAGCAAAATGCCTGAGCATCCCAAAAAACGGTTGCTATGACCTTTGTTCTTTACTGGTCTGCTTTCGCTTTGACTGGACCGCTTCCACCTCTTGATAGCCGTGGCTTTAATTGTGCTTTGTCTTCAGGATCATACTGGTAAAGCCATGTTCACTTCCTGTTACTGTTCTTCAAAGAAATGATTCCATTTCTTTAAAATTTCCATTGAAAGCCCTGCTCTTGTCTGCCGCTGATCTGCACACCCATCAAACAGAAAGTTTGCTTAACTGTAATTTTTCAGTCAGAATCGTGTAAGCTAAGCCAATTGAGATGTCTAAGGTGTTGGCTATTGTTTTTGCTGCTAATCATTGGTCCTCTTCAATGAGGGCATGAACAAGATTAATTTTTTTCTTTGCAAATTAATGTGGGTTGTCTGCTGCTGAGGACTTATCTTCAACATCATCTTGTCTCTTCTTAAAGCAAGTAAACCATTTGTAAACTGCTGATTTCTTTGGGGCATTGTCCCCATAAACTTTTCAGAAAGCATCAATAATTTCACCAATCTTCCACCCAAGCTTCACCATAAGTTTGAGGTTTGTTCTTGCTTCAATTACAGCAGAATTCATGTTGCTCCCATAGGGGCTCTTTTCTTTTCTTTTCTTGTTTATTTAATTTTTAATGAATCATAATTGTTTATGTATATTTTGGGGATTCAATGTTGATATATGTTGATCAAATCAATATTACTAGTATGTATATCATTACAAATTGTACTTATTCTTTATGCCCCTTGTCCAATCTCTCCCTATCCCCCTCTCCCTCCCCCCTCCCACCACTGATAACCCTAGATTTCTTCTCTCCTCTGAAAGAGTAATGGTTACTCTGTTGATTTGTTGCCTAGATGATCGTCCAATGCTCAGAGGTGTGTTCAGGTCCCCCAATATTATCGTAGAGCAGATGCTTTTTCTGTCACTCTGGAATGCGCTTTATGGAGAGAGACATCCTCTTCTTTTCTTTGGTCTCTGCTGGTGACCTTCCTTGTGTCAATGCACTCCAGTGGCTAGTAGACCCTCTGCATGGTGGTTGTGATGTCTAGTCACTTTCCCAGCAGCCATGGTTACTGTGGTGGCTGTGGTGGGCCACCCACATAGATGTGATGTTTTGGGCATGCTCCTTGGTGCTGGTGGTGTGCCTGGTTGTGGAAGGGAGTTGGGGGGTCCAGTCCCAGACTCCATGCCCTGGGCCCCTGGGCAGGGCCCCAAGGCATAGGGGCTCTTTTCAATCTCTGATGTGTTATTCTTTTTAGTGTCTCAAACTAGATCCTATTTAGACATGTTATAACAAGTTAATACGAGTTTATTTTTGTGCAAAAATAATTTTGAAATCCATACAGTTTTTTATAATACACATTTTCTATGAAAACAAACAAAATAAAATATTGCCTTAAAATATTACTAACCTTGGCACCCCCTAAATTTTGCACACAGGTGAGTGCCTCACTTACCTCACCCGAGTCCTGGCCCGGAAGAGCAATGAAGCCTTTAGTTTACACACCAAGAGCCCCAGTGCTGATCCCTCCAAGGCTCAAAGAGGCAAAGGAACATCCCCAAAGAAACATGGTGGACAATGCGAGGACCTGTGAGCGCCGTAAGTAGCGACTGCGGGGGCTGGGGGAGACCAAGAAGAAGCCCCGAGTCCCTCTCCCGGTCCCTGCGTCCCAGCTCCCGCTTCCAGCCCGGGCAGGAACGAGGAACCAGGAGAGGTGGCGCCGCCGCCGCCTGCCTAATTGCTCACTGGCCCTCGTGGTGGGGCGCCCAGACGCGGCTCCTGGGCGGCCTTTGTCAAGTGTGGCTGAGACGCTGTCGCCCCAGCAGGCGGCCCCACCTGCGGATCATCGCATGGGCCCACCCAGCTCCACCCGGCGGGCCGCAGGCTCCATGCCCTCCCCCATTCTCGGTGACCGGGTCGCGGGGTCACGCTGAGGGTCCCTGAACTCCCTGGGATCGCTTGGCAGCGGCTCCTTCCTGCCACAATTCCAGATGTGCCACCCGGCCCCTCCCCTCCGGGAGAGCCCCCCACCCCCTTCCTCCACGCACCCTCATCTGAAAAGGCCTCCGATTCCAGTCTGGAGCCCAGAGGAAGGCTGGATTCGGAGAACCTCTCTTGGCCTCCAAAGTCGGTTTTCGGACACAAATTCCCACGCACAGCTGGTAGGGAGGGGTAGGGGCATTAGGGATGCTCAGGGCTGCTCTAGGACGGGGGAGGCCGAATCGTCACTAACCGGATTTCCCGGAGGGACAGCTTCTGGCGGGCCGGGCGCCCGACCCGGGGCACCCGGCTTAGGACCCTTGGCGGAGACCGAGGGGGTGGGCAAAGGGTGCCTGAGGAATTTGATCGCTCCCATCTTTGGGAGGTTTGGGGGCCGCAGTTATTCAGACAGTTGGCCCGAGGTGGTTGTGGTTTCTCTCTCTTTCTCCTGATTTTCTGCAAACTTTTGCAGAGTTTAGGACAGTGAAGGAAAAGGCGCAGCCCCGGGTGCAGCCCGCGGGGCTCTGGGCCTGCAGGGGCGGAGATTTGGGTAGACTGGGGGCCCTCTCCGAGAGCGCGGAGGAAACGCGCCCAGCCGGCTTCCTGTGGGGGCTCGGGCCTCGGGCGCCCCGCGGACAGACGTGTCCGGCCCGGCCAGCGCCGAGCCCCGCGCGGGGGGGGGGGCGCGGGGAGGG